TTTTTTTTTGGTACCGGGTATTGAACTCAGGACCTTGCACTTTCGAGGCAGGCATGGTCCCACTGAGCTAAATCCTCAGCCCTAGGTGCCCATATTTTTGCTCCACCAGCCTCATCCTTTGGTTTTCTAACTCATGATCACAACAGCATATTCTATTTCCATCTATGTAGTTCTGGTGCTAGATAGAGAGGAGAGATGACCAGATCTGAAGGAAGGTTAAAATATTTTGACAGGAAACAGGAAGAATTAAAATAAACATAAAAGATGATTAGGAGAAACAAGTTGATTTCCTCAATACATTATGGGTGTAAAAATTTCTTGGAAAATTTGGGCAAGTAGGTAGATTATACCAAAGTGAAGTAATTTAAAGGTCATGGGCCGAGCATTAATTAATAAGCTAATAAGAATCACTTGAGGGCGGAGGATTTAACTCAGTGGTTCCAGTGCCTGCCTCGCAAGTGCAGTTTGATCCCGAGTTCGATCCAAAGTACCAAAAAAAAAGAATCACTTGAAAAGTTGCAATTTGCAATTGAGTAAATAATCTATGGTTCAAAAATACATTTTTAAGAACCAGGGATTTAGCTCAGTGGCACCATGCCTGCCTCAAAAGCTCAAGGTCCTGGGTTCAATTCCTGGTACCAAAAAAATAAATACATTTTTAACATACAAAGGTAACTTGAAATTGTTACACAAATACACAATTCAAATAGCATTATAATATTTCACTGTTTGGTGTTACTGATCAGATTTATGACTTATAGTGTAGGACTGTGTAAAAATAAACATCATAGTTACAAGATCAGAATTCAGCTTGAATCTGTTTCAGTCTGTGAGGATACTCTAATGTGTCACTATACTTCTCTACTTTTTTTAATTACTTTGTGAAATTACTATATAGAATTTAACAACAAAAATCCTAAATTTTCCTAGAGTAGAACCAAGCTTATATGAATAATTCTTTTTTAGCCACTAAAATTTGACGTATCTGTTGCAGTTGTCGACAACATTTAACTTTTAGCATAAACTAAGGCAATGAGTTTCTAAACAGTCCTATTCCTAGCCTGTGTAAACCTAATCTCTTACTTTATTGAATAATTTCAAAACGCTAAACATCTTCATATTGAAAAGAAATGTTTCCATGGACAAACTAGGAACTGAAGAAAAATAGTTTAAGGAAATGCATTCCCAGAGCCATCCATATTTTCAATTTGCCTCTTTTGTAACTGGGATCACAGGCAGGTGCAACCACCCTGGACTCCAACTTGCTTCCTTCTGTGGTATTTTATCTAAATCTTGCTATTTAAAAAGGTTTCATAGAGTTGAGTTTGAATATGGTAAATGATGTTTGGAGCTTGATAATGGGTTTCAATAACTGATTGTATTAGGCAGCTTTCTCATCGCTGAAACATAATAGTCTACACTCACAGCTTAAAAAGGAGAGGTTTAATTTGGCTCACAGTTTTGCAAGTTCAGTTCATGGAAAGCTGGCTCAAAGGCAGGAAAGTCATAGCAGATGTGTAAGGCAGAGCGAAGCTGCTCAGTTGATGCCAACTGCGAAGCAGAGCAGGGGAACAGTGCCAGACAGAAATGGGTACTGAACCACGTATAGTATCCAGGGCCTCACCAGACACAGCCAAGCATGTGCTTTACCAATCTGCCAGGGACTCTTACGTTCATATACAGGATTCACAGTCACATTGATTCCACTTTTAGCTCTGATAACCTAAAATTCTCTTTTGTTGTTGTTTGTTTTGAGACAGGGTCTTGCTGTGTAGTTCAGGCTGATGTTGAACTCACTATGTAGCCCAGGCTGGCCTTGAACTCCCTGTGATCCTCCTGCTTCAGCCTCCGAGTACTGGTGATAAAGGACAGCAAGTAATCCAAATAAGCAAAAATAATCCAAACAAGGGAAATATTATAACACCCAACCTGCTAGATATCCGAAACTTGAGTTCATGTTCTCTAAAATCACAGAATGAATTCTAGGAACAGCGGAGGTTAAGAGTAGGAAAAATTTATTGGGAGAAAGACAGCTTCTGTCTAAGAGACAGAAGGGGGACCAGAAAGTAGGTTGTCCAGGCCCGGTCTCCCAGGGGGGTTTTATGGAGCAAAGCTATAAGGTGGGGCAGGTGCAAAGTGGAACAAACTATAGCCCAATAAGATCCAATGGAAATTTACAAGGTGGGCACTAGGCGGGACAAAACCATAATCAACCAATAAGATTGGAAGTATAGCCACCCAGGTAATATTGATTAAATGGGGATCAAATGAGAAAACAAGTCATGTAGCAAGCCTACATAGACTGAACAAGGAATTTCTGGAAAGGAAATGGGCAGGGAGATTGATGTCTATTTAGAATATCAATCACTGTAGGTGAATGTAGCACTTTTTCCTTTTTTATAATGCTGAACTTCAGGGACCGTGTCTTGATTGTCTTTCCTAATGACTCCTGGAGGGCTGGTGTCTAACTGCCTTCAAGATACTTAATTAACTTACCTGTCTACAACACTGGGATTACAGGCCTGTGCTACCACCACCACCCCTGACTCAACCTAAAATTGTTTATAGATGGTGAAGACATAATTCTTGTGGCCAGCTATTATCACAGGGTAAACCTCCTTCTCTAGTGCCACATTCGAAGATAAAATAATTTGTTTCTATTAAAATTATTAACAAACACTAAGAAGTTCTTCAACTAATCAAAAGATAAATTCAGGCTCTTCTCAGTTCAAAGATAGGTGCTATTGATACAAACAACAATATATTGCAGTTATTATTAAAACTACTCCAGATTTAATTTTCTTATGGAGCTTTACAATATTTGTATGAGAAATCACTCTCCAAGTAATACTACCTCATTGTACAGATAAGTCAATTTAAACCACAAAAAAGTTCAGGTGACTTGCTAGAAGTTACTTATGAAACTCCAGAGGACATTCAGACAAGGTAAGGCAACTACAAGAGATGCTGCGCTAGAGGGGCATAGGCAGTACTGCCATTGGAAGGGCACAGAAAGCAGACTTGCCGAGAAGGGAGACAGACATCTTCCTAAACGAATCAAGTATCATTTCAGATTTCATTGTGCTGGCTTTAGCGAAGAACACTGGTCTTACCAAATTAACTTACTGTTTTCAGAAACTTCCAGGTTGACTTTGGAAATGATAGAGGGAAATGTAGAAAAGCCAATGCCGTGTAATGAACTTTTCCTCTAAGCCAAGGTTTCTCCCACTGCTCTTCCCACATGAGACCCCCCAGTCACCGGGGGTCTCGTTAAGCTACAGTCTTGGGGGAAGGGGGACCTGAATATACTCTAAATCTCTGAAGGTGGAGACTAGGAAAACTCTTGCTCTAAGCATGAGATTTAAGTCAAATAGAAAAATAAGAGATTTTTGTTAAGTGTCCAAATGGTTCTTGCCTCCCTCCGGCCTGGTGGCGGGGGCTGTAGAGAAATCCCGTATGGGGTCTGGGATAAATGCTGAGCTGCTGAACACAGGGACTTAGGTACCAGAAACTGCCAAAAGTTTCGCAAGTCGTCCCTAAGGTTTCTGTTCCAATCTTCAACGACCAGCCAGCACCTGGAGCAGTCCAGGGAAGCGGCAAGAGGGGAGTTCCTTAGCATTTGAGGGGAACCAGTCCCTCAGTCGGTCCCCACCCACCTATAAAGAAGGACTGAACTAGCACTGCTGGGATATTAAGTATTTACTATGGACATCGATGAAATTTATTATAAGTGCAAATGCTTTACACTATGCCTCATAGTTGAGTTTTATAAGTGTTTATTCAAACTAAGGCGATACACCCTTTCCTAATCTGTTCGTAATTATCAGCAAAAAAAAAAAAAAAAAAAAAGCAACGTAAATGAAGAAACGAGGGGGCAGGGAGGCGGGGTGGGTCGCGGCCCGAGGGGCGGCAGGCGGCGAGGCACGTGGCGGCCTCGAGCTGGAGCCTCGCGCCGGTGTGGGGGGAGCGCTGCGGAGCTGTCCAGACTGCTGAGGCCGGGCCGCGCTGGCGCCCACTGCGCAGGCCCGGGACGGGCGCAACCACTGTGCCAGCATCCGAGGGGGAAAGGTAAGCATGGCTCCATACTCCCGTGCTCTACTAGCGGAAGGAGTGCTCTCCTTTCCTTCTCCTTGTAAGACTGTGCATGAAACCGCGCTCCGTAAGGTGGGCACCCCTTGGATGGCTCGCCATCCCGAGCCGGAAGCGGCTTCTTTCCGCAACGATGCGCCCCCCGCGCAGAGGCCCAGTGGATGCGCCCACCTCCTCGCCCCGCCCGAGGAGCTCGCTGCCCCTCCCCCTCCCGCCTCTCGAGTCGGCACAGCCACCCCAGTTCGCGCTCTCGGCCCGGCCGGGCGGTCCCGCGCCCCGCGCCTCGAATCCCGCTCTCTGCCCTCGGCGCACTGCCTGCCCCCCTGCGCGGATCTCCACCCCGCCGGCCCGCAGCCCTCTTTTCGCGCCGAGCCGGTGGCAGCAGCAGCAGCAGGGGGAGGAGGAGCCGGGAGGCGTCGGCTGGGCCCATGGCGTACAGTCAGGGAGGCGGCAAGAAGAAAGTCTGCTACTATTACGATGGTGAGCCGGCCGGGCCCAGCCCAGCCCTGCAGGGACCGCGGCCTGCACCCCCGCGCGGCCTCCCTGCGCCTCCCCGCGCTCAGGCCCGCCGCAGGCACACAAAGCCGGCGCCCGCCCGCGACCCTGGCCCCAGCCAGCTCCCGGGCCCCCGGACTCGCCCGGTCCCGCTCCTCGGCCGTGCTGGGTACCGAGACGGGGCCGGTCGGCGAGGGGCGCTTGTGTCCTACGGGCCCTCGTCTCCCTTTGTGCTCCGGTCTCTCTGCGCCGCTTTCGCGGGGTTCGCGTCTCCTGCCGCTGGGGTAGGGGAAGTGGCTGGGACGCGCGCCGCATCTGACTGTGGGAGTCCCGGCCTGCCCCGGTGGGCGGTGGCTGTCACCCACCTCTTTGTGGCTCTTTGTTCGGCCTGAAGTGTGCCCTGATCGAGGTTTAGGAGAGCACTGGCGTCTTGCTCGTGCAGGCAGTTCCTAGGCTGGAAATTCTGGCGTAGGAAAACTTTGGGAAGTAGCACATAGACTTTAAGTAAATGAAACAGGTAAGCGTGAGCTCACAGTCCATTGAGTTTAAAAAGTCAGGTAGTGGGTATATCTCTGAATCGTACATCCTCTTCCAGCCTATGTCACATCAGAATAGTAACACGTTCCACAGATTTCACAAAGACTTCAGTATTCTACTCTTCAGAGATGGGATAAGGAAATTAAGCAGAGAAGCAAGCCTCAGTGACCTGAAAGTCCTGATTTGTAAGAAGCAGCATAAATTTTTTGATATATTGAAATCACAGTGTCTTAAAGATACGGAGACTGTAGAGGAGCGAGGAGTAGGTCAGAAGAAACTTGACTTTGACTTAAAAGTGGCCATACTGTCCCTTCATTTGGCCAAGATTAATCCTTTAATGCCTATTCTGAATAGTCACCGTGTGTGTTACTTGTTGGAAAAACTAAAATCTTACAGAAAGCTAGGATAACACAGAAATGGTCCCGTTAGAAAATAGTTTTGAGGGAGCCTTATGTCTGTGTGATGGAAATTGAATGGAGGTTGTACCATCTTGGAGGGGTGGAGATGGGAGGACGTTTCCGTTTCCATACAAATTGTGTGGTGCATTTAGGGTTACCGGCATATCTTTGCCCTGCGTTTTTTGATCGAATTGCAAGGGAAGTAACCCGGAATGTAACTCAGTTTAAAAAGTGTACTGTTTCTGCAGTTTGGAGATTGGTTCCCGTTAAAGCCTGGTGTAAAGGGCAGGTCTAACAGTCTGGGAAGTTATGCCTGGCTTTGCAGCTGTCGGTTGGCTGTGCCGGACTCTGATGGAGCCAGCTGCTGGTAACGTGTCCCAGGTTGGGCCTTAGAGCCCTGAGGAGCCCGAGAACAGTTTTCTAAGCGGTACTTGTTTCTGGGCCTATGATGAGCCTTAGGGAGTAGCAGGCACGGGTTCCAGGGAGAGGATGCAGGTCCAGAGGTAGCACCGAGTCATGTAGCTTCCTCAGTTGCTTACCTTTTGGTTGGCAGCCAGATGTAAAATTGGCAGTTTGGCAATCTCTTTTTAGTTACTTGTCTCTTGTGGCTCTTGTTCTCCTTTAATTGTGAAAAAGATTCAAGTGAAGTAACATTTGTGCCAAAGAACCATGTGGCTTTCAGGTATAAGGGTGGTTGAATTGGGAGTGGATAATAGTGATAGAGCCTGAAAAATGTTAGCCTGAGTTCGCTGTTTTTAATTTGTTGCTTTGTAAAGGACATAGAAGAGGGAGAAAAGAGAAAGAATGAAGTAACAATATCCTACCTTTGGGCCTTTGGAGGCCAGTACGGGCACTGAGCCTCTTGGCATCTCAGAATGTTTGCCACGGAGGCTGTGTGCTTCTCAAGGAGAAGATCTTCCAAACATTATTTCTCTATATTCCTTAGTCTTACTGTACCCTATAGATCACCGAAATGCTGGTCTCAAGTGACCCTTCTGCCAGTGAAGGTAGAATTGTCCCTAAATCTTTGAAAAAGGCATAAATTCTTACTTATGTGACTGTGGCTACTGACTTTTGCTTCCAAAGTTTCTAAAGATACATTTCTACATCTTGGCCATTCTTTTGTATACTAGAAGACTGATAGCTTGTAAAATAGGTAGTCATTTATGTTACCTTCTGCTTTAAAATGATGGGATTTTTCTCTACTTAAATGTAATTAGCAAACCTATCTCTGCTTGGCTCTAATGATTATACTCATTTTAAAGTTTTATTTAGAAATGTAGACTCTGCTCTGTTTTGAATTAAGCTTGACTCAGTCACATTTGGTGTTTATGATGTATCCAGTACAGTAGAATTGTATATATACATAGTGTGTTTTGTTCCTCCTGTGACAGGAGTGCATATCCAAAACAGTGCCATTGACTTCTGTTAGATAGTCTTGTACAGTTACATGAGCTGGGGTGTAAATCCTTACATCTATAAAATGGGGAGGTATTTCTTCGAGGTGATCTAATGCTTGATTATAGAAGCAGTTCATAAATACTAATGATATTAATTCCACATAATTATTTAAGTATAGTAGAATTTAATTCTAAGTAACTGAGATTTCCTGTGCTTAAATTGTCTTCGCCTAGAATTCTTTCACCCCTCACATTGTTACATTTCAAGTTATCACAGGCTTTCCACTGTTGCCTTAAACAAATTACTGCTTTATTTTTCTTCCTGTCACTTCTGTGGCTTAAATTTTGTCTCTCCCCTTTAGGATGTAAGCTTCATGAGGACAGGGAGTCTTTCATGTCTATCTCCAACATCTAAATTTGAATTTTGAATTATTGATGAATAACTGATTAATTTATAGACAGCATTTTCATATAGCATTCTCTGTAATTCTTAGAAATGCTCTGAGTTGTAGATAGGTAAGATAGGTGGCATTTTGTCTGCTTTATGGATGAAAACAGATTAGTATTTGTCTTCGTTACTTTTCTTGTTGCTGAGACAAAATATTCAACACCCTCAGTTAAAGGAGGAAAGGCTTATTTGGCTCACAGTTTGTATAGCTTTCAGTTCATAATCGGCTGGCTCCAAGGCAGGGTAGCATGGCAGAGGGGCAAAACAGAGGAGAAACAGTTCATGGCAGTCAGAAAGCAGCAAGGCAGTAAGCTACAAGCAGCAACCCTTTCTGTCCCTTATATCCTATCCAAGCTCCACATCCTTAGGGGATTCACCCAGGGTGAATCCCAGCCTTGCACCATGATTCAGTCAATCCCTGCATCACACCCTTTATCCCAACAGCAGACACCTTAGAGCCAGCTATCTCCAAAAAGCTCCACCTGGGACCACATGAGGCTTTAGGGACAGCTAGATCCAAGCCACAACAGTATTTGCACAACTTAGCACTTTCCTTTTCTACACTGACTTTAATTTTAATGTCTAAGGAGAGCTCAAAACCTGAAATCAAAAATTTTTATTTTTTCCTTTTCAGTGGAGTTCCCGCTGCTGTAAGAAAAAGTTATTAGTAAACTGTTCTTTTCCTTAGCAAAAACTTTTAAAAGTTGAGAAATCCCTTGAGACAGTTGAACTTGGGGAGGTGAATTGGAGAATGTTAATATATGGGTGAGATCACATGTAAAAGCTCAAGTCTATGTAAGTCTTCTCAATTTCTGTTGCTTCAAGAGGTCAATTTTGGGTTCAGAAATACCAGAGGGGTTTAAAGTTCCTACTGTGTGGCAGATAGAGGAAAGATACTTAAGGAAACCAAGGTTGTATCTTAGTAGGAGAAGGTGATGTTTGATAGGTAATCAGAGAACAGAAGGCCTGAAGGAGAGTGGCATAATCTTAAAAAAGAGTTTCCTAATGGGCCAGGGATTTAGCTCAGTGGCACCGCACCTGTCTCATAGGCCCAAGGTCCTGAGTTCAATCCCCCGTACCCAAAAAAAGTTTCCTAGGAAGACTTTGGAGGTTGCAATGGTCAGGCAGTTAGAACTTGACATACCAAGGAAATAGCAAGCCAGGAAGAAGGCTTGGGGGAATCTGGGGTGTGCAGAGCTGAGCATTAAAGGGCTAGACTGTGTAAGACTTTCTGGTGACAGGTTCTTTCTTCTTTTCTTTTTTTTTTATTTTTAAACTGGAGATTTAACCCAGGGCCTTTGTGCTGAGCCACACCCTTAGTCTTTTTTGACATAGGGTCCCATAGAGTCATTAAATTGTCGAGACCAGAATCTCACTATTTAGTTCAGGCTGGTCTTGAACTCACTGTTGTAGCCCAGGCTGGCATTGAACTTGGCTGTGATCCTCCTACCTCAGCCTCCAGATGCTGGGATCCCAGTCTTGTGCCACCATGCCCAGCTCACATAAAATGTAATGATTGTGTTATAGACAGAAATGAAGATGTTTGAGAGAGATTTGGAGAGTAAAATTAGTAGAACTTGTTGATACATTGGAAATGGAATTGGGGCTGGGGAATTTTGGTAAAGAGTAGAGGATGACTCCTAAATTTCTGGATTGAGCTGTTAAAGTGGGTTTTGGTACCACTCAGATTGCACAGACTAATCAAGGGCTTTGTTTTGAACATCTTATACTTGAGATCTATATTTTGTTTTTTATTTTATATTTAATGAAGAGTTTCTTCCTTGAGCCTGGAATCCAAGAAGGAGAGACTGGTCACAGAAACTTGGGATTCATCCCCTTATACAGTAGCTGGTAAAATACAGTACTGAGGCTGTGAAAAGTAGTATAAATAGACAGAAAGACCCTTGACTCATTGCTGAAAGATTTAGAGTATAGCTGTTACTGATGTACCCAGGTACCTTGAACAGTTGCTGCCTGGCAAGTGGTAGGCTCTTTTTTTTTTTCTTTTTTTGGTACTGGGGATCGAACTCGGGTCCTTGTGCTTGCACAGCAGGTGGCGAAACCACTGAGCTAAATTCCCTGCCCGGTGGGCTCTTGATCCATTAAATGATGAGTGAACTTGAAAAAGCCCTAGTATTAAAAGGTTCGCAGGGCTGGGGATTTAGCTCAGTGAAGCCTTGCCTGCCTCGAAAACGCAAGATCCTGAGTTCGATCCCCAGTACTGGAGAAAAAAAAAGACTGGCAGAGACATAGAACTGGGGTAGAAGGAGAATCCAGGAAAGTGGTATTATGGAAACCCAGGCTCAGTATAAAGAGAAGGAATGGACCATTCGTGTTAAAATCTAATAGTGAACTGATGAAAATACACTGGCCTTTTCACACTTTTTAAATGTTTTTTCCTGAACCTCTTGTTTTGTTTTGTTGCAGTACAGGGGATCAAACACAGGACCTTGCGCTTGCCAGGCAGGCATGTCACCACTGAGCTACACCCCGGCCCCTGAACCTTTTCTTTAAAGGTTAGCTTATCTTTAGGGGTAAAGGTATATTTCACAGTCCCAAACTTTAAAATGATCTGAAAATTGTAAATTTTTTGTAACTCAACAGCATAACCTGAATTAATACAATACTATTTAGGATCTTTAGTCCATGTATTGTGAACATTTATAAGTTTTTCAAAAATATGTTTGATTATAGAATGCTGCCTAGACATGATAGGTTATTGTGTGTAGCAGATGTGACATAATTACCTTTAATAAAATATGAAAGTCTTAACATTTGAAACTACCTGGTTCCAAGAACCTGGGGTAGGGATTGAGCCTCAGTGGCCACTCCCCTTCTGAGAGCTGCTTGAACAGAGAGCAGTTGCTAATATTTTGCCTGTAAATTCTTTATGATAATTTCACATTGGCAATTAAAAGTTTGCTATGGTCAAGAAATGATTTTGTGCCTATTTTTCTGGATTTTCACTTCTTTAGTAAAACAGCTTTATAGTATTTTGGTGAAACTAGGATAACAATTTAAATGCCCAAATTACATTTCTGACCATTTAAATGAGATGAATGCGAACTGTGGGTTCATAGAAGTAAGAAAAGACATTTTATCTTTCTCAGAGATTCCTACAAAGCAGTTATCTACAGAATAGATACAGCATGCAGCAGGAAGAAGTTTGAAATGATTCTTTTGTAACTCACTTGGATTTTGGAGGAATTCTTGTTAGAGTAATTGATCTGTAGCTTGGCTGTGGGACCCTGGTCATTTAGGCTGTATTTGTATTTTTAGTGGGACTGGGTTCTCTAAATCATGGCTATGTATTGAAAGCTGCGTATATTAATATGTGAGGGTCCTGTTAGTAACAAGTACATTACTTTGATGAATTAGGCCACTTGTTTATTTTGCTCATTTTCTTTAAGCTTTGATGAAACATTTATATTCCATGTTATGTCCTTTTCTTGTTAGCCTTGCTCCTACCATTTTTTTCTACTGACTTAGAAGTGTAACTACTTTTTTGCTGCTGACGCTTAGACTACTTAAACAAGCCCTGGCCATAATGTGTCCTTTCTGGGTTGGAGGGCAGCTCTTTCACTTGTTAGATATATGGCTTTGGCATTGTTGCCTGACTGGTTTGCATCTCATACTTCTCTGCACTTATAAATAGGAATGGTGGTAATAATTCCTATGGTATAGAGTTGTTGAAAAGACTAAAAAATAATACATGAGAAGTGCTTAGGATAGCACCTTCTGGTAAATACTCAGTAAATGTTATTTTATAAAACACTGCTTTCTTGTTTTTTGTATTGGATGTTGTGGCTTTCTGTTGAATTCTCTATGTACCTGTTGAATAAAGTGATTTTAAGATGTGGTAGATGCTGGAGACATTTCATCTTGGTAATTCTTAGAGGTAGATGGAAGTGAAAATAGATTTTATTCTTATTCTAATGATCTCTTGATCTAATGATCTTTAAGTGATTAGAAATGACATTCTTTGCATTAATTTAGCTATGTGACACTGTAACATACTTAAAACTTAGGTATGGAAACTTAGGTTTTCCATACTTAACAATCTGATAGTGAGAACAGGCTGCTTTTAAGGAACTATTTGCTCTGCCAGCATGTAGGGCAGAGATTTATGACTGATCCTTTCTTCACAGATAGTTTGTTTTTTGCCTTTATGGCCTTGGTTATGATAAATACAAGTGAGTGTCTCTATTCTTAGTTTTGTTTTTTGTATTTTTGCATTTTTTTGGTACAGGGATCAAACTCAGGTCCTTGCACTTGCGAGGCAGGTAGTGGAACCACTGAGATAAATCCCTGGCATTCTTAGTTTTCTTGTTGGCACCTGCTTTGGAAGTTATTTTTTTAATGGCCATGTGTGTATGCATTGTTTGCATAAGAGAGCTTATGTTGAAAACAAAGTAAGAGGTATGATACCAGGTCTTTGACTTACTTTTCTCATTGCTAAGACAAAATACCCAATGCCCAAAGTTAAAGGAGGGAAGGTTTGTTTCAGCTCACAATTTGTAGAGGTTTTAGTCCATAGTTAGCTGGCTCCAAGGCAGAGGGGAATGGGAGAGGAGAAACAATTCATGGCAGGCAGAAGGCAGCAAGCAGCAGTGAAGCAGGCCTCCTTTTCCCCTTTATTCCATCCAGGCTCACAGCCATTTGGATGGTGTCACCCATACCCAAGGTGGGAGTTCATTATCCACTCCAGGAACTATGCTAAACCAATTTGGATATCACACTTTTTTTTTTTTGGTACCAGGGATTGAACTTGGGTCCTTGCGCTTGCTCAGCAGGCGGCAAAACCACTGAGCTAAATCCCTGGCCTACACTCTTAATCTCAGTATCATAGCCCTAGATCCAGACATCTCCAGGTCTAAAAGGCCCCACGTATGAGTCTGTGGGGCTTTGGGGAGACATTAGACACAAGCCAAAACAGTTTTATTATTAGAAGTATGGGTTTTATAAAAGTGAATGTTCAAGCTGGACTACTGTCAAATGTACAAAATTTGGGGCTGTTTTGGTTGCTGTTAATGAGAGGGAGGGTTTTGAAAGATTTATTAATCTTGAAGGTGGATAAATGGCATTCTTTTATCTTTTATTGCATAAACCTATATTGAATTGATAGAGTTTAAACCATAAAATCAGCTTGACTAGCTGAACAAAATTTTGGAATTGTTTAAACTCTAGGCTCAGTAGTAATTTCTAATTTAATAAATGTGTCTGTCACATTAGAAAAATATATTTGAGGCTTTCTGATGTTACTTTATGGTAAGCATTAGAACTTTACCCTAGGAGTATTGATTTTATTGAAATTTGGTTGAAATGTGATTTTGGTGTTGCTTATTTTGAAATCTTATGTGTAAGTTTTGTCACATAGGAATATGTTGTTTTAAAAGACGGACCAGGAATTACAACCTTTTAGTTGAAAAGAGTGAGAATATCCATATTACCTTGAAGAATGAATGTTGTGTGTGTGTCCTAGGACAGAAGCACTTTCTTTGGGACGTAGGTTTCAGGTGCTAGAACATCTTGAATGGAGTGTAATTTGTGCACAGAACACTTACCCTCCCACAGTATCAACTATGAAGGGTTTCTGGAGTGCCAGTAAATTATCCCAGAAACAAAAATTGCTGAAAAAAATTTAAGTCATACCCAAAGACACAGAATTTACCTTAATCCAAAAATTTGCTAGAAAATACTAAGTGTAACTTTAAAAATTAAACTGAAAGAAAAATTGGGGAACTACAAATCAGAATATCTCAATCTATATAAAAAATAATGTAATAATGGAGAGTTGCCAGCATGTCAGCAGTATCTTGCCCCCCCCCACACACCTTACTGGGGATCAAACTCAGGACTTTGAGCTTATGAGGCAGGCGTGGTGACACTGCGCTAAATCCCTAGCCCCTTGGCATTTTGATATAGATTGAAAGCTCCAAAAACAGTTCTGAAATCATTGATTGTTAATTTTATTTAAGTGCTGAGTGCCTTCCACTGTTTAATATATATGAGAACGCAGTTCATGACTTTCTTTTCCATATTGTTTAGTTTGTATGTTTTCTATTTTAGGTGATATTGGAAATTATTACTATGGACAAGGTCATCCCATGAAACCTCATAGAATCCGCATGACTCATAACTTGCTGTTAAATTATGGTTTATACAGAAAAATGGAAATATATGTGAGTATACCTTTTGGTGAATATTTAACAGTATTATTTTTTTAACTAGTTAGGTGAGACTTTATTATTTACCTTTGAGAAAGGCGTATACCAGATGAAAAAGTCTGGAAGAAAACACTTGAGCAAAAATACAGAGTATAAGAGCAATACCTCCTGTCTTCCGTTTTTAAAAATTCCCTATACTCTGGGCTTTCATATTTCCAGAGAACAACTTGGTCTACTGTATTGTTTTTGTTAGGATAATGTTGAACTGTGTGTGCTGCTGAGGAATTGATCTGAGACTATTAATGAAAGAATTTTTATGCAGACAGTTGACCCTACAAGCACACATGATACATGTGAATGCCGTTAAAAGCTAGGTAGAATACAGATAACATATAAGATACAACAGCTACCTTAGATGTTTTTATAGATAATGGCAGGGGTATATATAAACAGATAAGGGACAGCAATTCTTAACCTATTTAGGGAGAAAAGAAAGAGCAGTTCTAATGATTTTAAGTAAATTATTTTCTGTTAGATGTAGACATTTAGAAAAGAGAGGATTTGGAAAAGAGTCTCAATCTGGAAGCCTTGTGGAAGAAGTATGTCATAAATGAAATTCTGCTCTTTAGAAGAAGAAAACTGAGATCACAAAAGAGCACAAGCAAAGACTTAGAGCTGAGGATGTGTCTCTTTCTGGGAAGTCACTGATGAAATCAGTGGACATAGAGCAGAAAGTTTATGACAGAAAACGAAAGTCTATATGGATTTGACTGTATATGTGTTGACCTGTTTCCACTAAAATTGAGAATTGTTAACTCATTGTTGATAATGTGCCTGTCTAATCCTTTTAAAAGGGTTCTAATTGGTTTTAGTATTGATCATTGTTTCCTAAAGTAGAAACTACACTTTGGATTAGCTTTGGAATTTACTGTATTCTAGTGGACCTAATTTCTTTAAAGGGACTGATATTTTATAATTATGATAGAGCCAGTAGTAATTTCAGCATCCTGATATTTTTCTTTACAGAGGCCTCACAAAGCCACTGCTGAAGAAATGACGAAGTACCATAGTGATGAGTATATCAAATTTCTACGGTCCATACGACCAGATAACATGTCTGAGTACAGTAAGCAGATGCAGAGATGTACGTTCCTATGTAAAAAGTGTATTTTAATGTTGATAAATGTAAATTAGTATTTTTAGAAGCTTATAATTAGAATTATCCAAATTGATGTTTTTTTCTGGTGGTCTAAAATGTTACAATTATTTATTTGGAAAGTCAGTGTAGCAATATTGAAGGTAACATTTTCAAAAAACATAACTGATACTGAGTGTGGTGGTGCACACCTGTAATCCCACCCAGCACTATGGAGGCTGAGGCAGGAGAATCACTGTGAGTTCAAAGTCAGCTTGGACTATAGGATGAAACCCTGTCTCAAAGAAAAAAATAACTGAATGGCAGATTGGATAGTCCTTTACTTTTTATTTTGCTCCCATGATAACTCGGGGATGAGGAATATTGGTAGGGAAACCTCACTCCCTGTGTCACACACAAGGAAAGATTAGTGTGCACTTTTTGTGTTCTTTAGTTAACTTGTACTATAATGCATGTTTTCCCCCTTTCAGGGAAGCTTTTGATTTTTCTCTTATATGTGGTGTTCTCTTTAATAAGTTAAAAATATTTTTTATTAGAGATTATGATTGGAGCACAGTATCTCTTTGTAAAGCTTGATGCCTGAGTTTGTTCTCATCTTTTTTTTGTTTTGTTGTTTTGTTTTTTCTCAATGGGATTTGAACCCTGGGCCTCTGTACTTAGCTACATCCCAGGCCCCTTTTATTTCTTTTGAGACAGGGGCTGTAAGTCACTTAAATTGCTGAGGCTCGGCTCAACCTCAAACTTTAATGCTTCCTGCCTCAGCCTGTTAGAGTACTGGGATTACCCACATGCACAATCATGCCTAGCTAGCTCATCAGTGTTTTAATAGACTTCAATGGTGATTACATTAACTTAAGTATAATTACTAGGCGTCTCACAAATTCATAGGTGTTTCTACCATAGCTTATTTTTGTTTTGGTACTGGAGATCGAACTTGGGACCTTGCAGTTGCAAGGCAGGTGCCGGAACCACTGAGCTAAATCCCCGGCCCTACCATAGCTTATTGATCCAGTAAAATGCTGCAATAACTTAAGACAGGTATTACCTTTTCAGGGAGGATTCAGACTTAGAGACATGGCTAGTCCTTGAGTGAATGAATTAAACAGGCCAACTTACAAAATACTGAGTTGTATTAAATGATATCTGAGTAGTAAGAAACTTAATATTTATTCTAAGTAGAGCTTACAACTCCTGATTGCACAAAGCTATGTAAGCAGTGATCCTTACTCTTGAAGAGGTTATAATTTGAGACATGGAAGGAAAATAAGACTGGGTTATATATACCTATAACCCCTTTTCTCTCAGTACTGAGGAGTCAGTGTGTCTTGAGGTGTTACTTCCTTGCTTTGAGCACTCTTCTGTCTTGGCTCCCAGGTCCCTCATCTGCTCTTACCATTTCTCAAGGTCAAGACTGACCACAGATATAGCCAAGTAGCTACTATGTCTTCTTAGTACCCAGTGGAATACTTTTAAAAACTACAGATGCTGTGTGTATGTAAGGAATGTTAAAGTTCAGGAATAAAGCAATTGGAGTTACATTTTAAAATCTTGGTTAATTGTTGGATATTAAGTCAATATTAAATAAAAGTAAAGAGTATGATTTGAAATCTATTGAATTTTTTTAATAGAGCAGAAATTTTTCATAAATGGTCAGAGTAAGATTTTGGTGATAAGACTTTGCAGTGTTTCACAAAAGCTCTTTATCTTGAATAAAATAGTGAATTATATGTTAAATTTGCAAATTTTAGATTATGACTGGAGCATGTTTTATAATTCCATTATATAAAAGTTTTGCAGGAAAAAGTTGTGTAAAAAAAGCTTTAATTAATTTTTTTACTGGTTTGAAATTAATCAAATTTATTCCAGTTAATGTTGGGGAAGATTGTCCAGTGTTCGATGGACTCTTTGAATTTTGTCAGCTCTCCACTGGTGGCTCAGTTGGTAAGTATCCTACTTCAGTCAGATTTCAAAGATGATCTAAATGTACTTATGTGTTCTTTGGCTTACTTAAAGCACTTGTAATGGTAGTAGATTTTGATAACAAAAAGGAATCGGTAATTATGCTTATAATATTGTGTTGGGGGCCAGGGATTTAGCTCAGTGGCAGTGTGCCTCGCAAGTGCAAGGTTCTGAGTTCAATCCCCGATACAAAAAAAAAAAATATCGCGTTGGTCAACCTTTTGTTACTGTAACAAAATATGTGAAATGATCAGGGTACAAAGAGGAAAGGTTTATTTCAGCTCACAGTTTCAGAGGTATCAGCCAATTACCATTTGGCCCTGTTGCTTTGAACATCTAATAGTATGTCATGGAGGGAGCATATAAAGAAGGAAGCCTGTTCCTCTCTTGGCTGAGTGGGAAGATTATTTTTTATTCTAAATATTTCATAAGTACCTTATCCTTTTTCTGCTTCTTAGCTGGGGCTGTGAAGTTAAATCGGCAGCAGACTGATATGGCTGTTAACTGGGCTGGCGGATTACATCATGCAAAAAAATCAGAAGCGTCAGGATTCTGTTATGTAAATGATATTGTGCTTGCCATCCTTGAATTACTAAAGTAAGTTAATTTGCATTGATATTTTCCTGTGAAAAGTGTTTTAAGATACAATAAGACTTACAGCTTTTTAAAAGTACTGTATAGAGAAAATGGTAGTTGTACTATGAATTTATTATAAGTTAGTGAGTAGCTGCCTACCTTCCAATCTGAATGAGGCTTTATTTTTTACTACTGGATGTAAAATTATCTTGAGTGCATTGCTTTTAAAGTTATCTTTGACTGAAGTTTTTTGAGAGATTTATGAAGGGACTTAGGAATTTGGAGATTAACAAAGTTAGGAGTTTTAGTAACGTCTCAGCAGATTCTGCTTTAGATTTTATACTTAATTGGTATTTTCTCAGCATTGAACATGTTCTTGTTTATGTTCTTCCATGCATACTCTCCATAGAGGCTAATTTTTGTGTTAGTATATTTATTTATTTTTGGGGGTTTTTTGGGGGGGGTGGTACCGGGGATCGAACTCGGGACCTTGTGCTTGCAAGGCAGGCGCCGGAACCACTGAGTTAAATCCCCAGCCCTGTTTTTGGTTTTTTGAGACAAAGTCTCACTAGGTAGCCCAGGCTGGCCTCAAATTCATGGAGGTCTTCCTGCCTCAGCCTCTGCAGTCCTGGGCTTAAGGGTGTACACCATACCCAGCTTGAGTCACTTTAAATTTGGTATTGACTCTTAAATTATAACTGAGCAGTGTCAGTTTAACATCTCCTTGACTTGTTCAGAGCTAAAGGAAATCATTTAAAATAATTTGTTTCCTAAATAACTTTTTTGTTCCATTTCTTCACTTCTGAGCAAGTTCTTGCCCACTAGGCTTATAACTTAAATAACTTTAATTTATCTGAATCAATTTCTTCAGCAGGTAAAATAAAAAGAGACTTAATTGACTTGGTAAACACTTTTTCTTGTTTGTATACTACTTGAGCTACTTAATTTGATATCGGCTTATTTTTATTATTTTATTTTATGAAGAAACAGATTGTTTTCAGTTTTCTATATTTTCTGAATTTGTTTCCTGAGAGTTGAGACTATTATTATTATGAGTGTCTGGTCTGGGAAACCAGCTTACATTGGATTCTTTTAGCACAGCTGTGGTATCATGAATAATAAATGCAAAGTTTTACCTTCTGATGGATTAAATAACCCTCATTTTCCTGTGCTCTAGAAGAGTGACATTTGAAGTGCACTTCCGCCTTGCTCTGCCATGGGTCTCCCCGTCACAGTGTCATGGTAGGGTGGTGCTGCGTGAGTCCCGCGGTGCATTTGAGTTGCAACTGCACCACTGTGGTCGATGTGAAGCGAGAGCAGAGCGCTCTCTGTGCTCTGTGTCCCCGCTGGGCTTCGATCAGGACGGAGCCTGGCGATGTGAGAACAAACGAGGTGCCAGTGTTTCAGTAGGACTTTGATGGACACAGAAATTCTTTTCTGTATTTCATTCCTCATTCATTCCTGTGCAGAGCATTGAACCCAGGACCTCTGCACTGGCAGCCCTTTTTATTATTCATTCATTTATGCTTTTAAATTTATTTATTTGAAAGGGGATTCTGCCACGTAATCAAGCTGGCCTTGAGCTCTGATTTTATTTTCCAACCATTTAAAAATATAAAACCTATTCTAAGCTCAAAGCCGCAAAAAAGAAGGCATTTGGCCTGTAAGCCACAGTTTCCCAGCTCCCATTTTTTGTAATACTAAAACTTATTACAGGGTGTTTTAATTAAAGTAACAGCCTTGAGTACAGTATGATCTTCAATTAATGCATAGAAATGTGTGCTATGTCTTTAAAGCATGTATATAACAGGACAGGTTTCACCAGAGGTAAATGTGTTTTCTCACTTTGGGGCCAGAGGAGTTTTAAAAGTCTCAGTTCCACACGATCACTTCAGGTGTTCGAATGGCCTCACAGGCTGGAAGAAGGACTTGGGAACATACTGACTATGTCAGCTAGTGTTCTGCAAATTACAGCATCAACAAAAACAAAACTTAACAAATCCAGCAGCTGCAGCAACAAGCAGGGCAGAATGAGAAGACCGGCCCAGAGAACCTCGCAGCTTATGTTCAAGATGTGTCTGCACAGGGGGAGCTCATGGCAGGAGTGGTTGCTGTCTTGCTGCATGGACACCTAAACCTGTGCTTTGGCTTTGCAGGGAAGCTGAGTAGCTCAGTGACTTTTGGTTAGTGATTTCTTATCCTCATGCTGCCAGTGGTGGTTATTTGGCTTGTCAGAAGACTTGAGTGTGTCATGATTGGATTCTTTGTGTTGTTCTTAGAAATTATAACACCAAAACAATTTTAATTGAGGAAAAAATAGGTTTTCTGAGTTTATAGTGGTATTTTCCATCTTTGAACCTTTAAATAAAAACGTGTGGCTTTGTTTTTAGGTATCATCAGAGAGTCTTGTATATTGATATAGATATCCATCATGGTGATGGTGTTGAAGAAGCTTTTTATACAACAGATCGTGTAATGACTGTTTCATTCCATAAATATGGGGAGTACTTTCCTGGCACAGGAGACTTGAGGGTAAGAACTGATTATTTTTGAGTAAATGTGAGATCAACATAGGAGGTTAGTAACCCTATACTAACCGAGTCATTAATCTGAAATTTGTATGCAGAATTAAATCACTTTATATACTTTAACATCTAGAATTTTTTTTGATATGCAAGTATTTAGTGGGCATTTAAAAGACATTTATTTAGCTTTCTCCTTCGGTTAAGTATGTGTCCATGGTGCATGTAGCACTTTTTTTGGTGTTCACTGAATATCTAGAATCACTTGGTGGTGGCCTACAATACTGTTGTTTTTAAAGATAGGTGGAATAAAAGTCTTTCTGGATCCTTCTGCTGCCCTCCTTTAAATTTGGTCTTGACTTAATCTCTTTTTTCTGAGTCTTCGAGAATACCATACCTTAGTATTGGTTATACATTAGATTTTTGTTACCCATTTTCTTTTGGTTCCTTTGTAGTTTGTAATTGTGAAAATCACTTAAATTCTACTTATATAAATTTAGTGAGAGTTTTGGCTTCAGTAGAACTATTTTGAACCATACCACATACATACTGAAGTTTATTTAGAGATTTGATTTTTTGTTTTGTTTTGTTTGTTTTGAGAGAGGATCTTGCTGTTCAGACTGGCCTTGAACTCATTGTGTAGCCCAGGCTGTCCTCAAACTTCTGGTTATCCTCCTGCCTCAGTGTCCCAAGTACTGGTACTCTAGACATGTTCCACTGCGCCCAAGTTTAACTGGTGTTTTTAATTCAGACCAGATTATATGGGAGATTTTGCGTAGTATAGCATTGAATGTTAGTTTTAAACTATCTTATCAAATAGGTTATTTTTCAGGTCATGATATGTTCTTGCAGGTTAGCAACCACACTTTTAAAGAGTGGCCCTCATCTTCAAATGTATCACTTTTCTTTATTTGACCATCAAGTGGTAATCTTTCAGTAAACTTTTACAGTAAGAGTGATGTTTAAACTTTTCCTAATTTATACATGGGTAAGGGTTTAGATGTTAGGTTGTTTGGCTTATAAAAAGTAGATTCAGAGTTTAAGTTCCTCGGTCACATTAGATCCTTCAGCTTTCTCCCTTTCCCCACTTGATTTTATCTTTTAGGCCAGTGGTTCTCAGAGAATGGTTCATAAGTGAGCAAGATCAGAATACCTGGGAGCCTATCAGAAGTACACATTCTTGGGCCCCAGAAACTGGGTGTTTACGCAGTTTGGGAACTACTGCTCTGAACCAGTAGAATATATGTATCTGCAGCCATTCCATCCCAGTGGGAGTTAGGCAGGCCTTCCTGGCTTTAAGCTCCATGTATAAGATAGTGTCTTTGTGATGTGATCCTCATTATCTTAGGAAGTGGCAAATGGAGACCTTTTAACTTCTGACAGAAAGTAGATGTCACTGTGGTCTTTTTTCAGTTGTTAGTAATTTTTTGGGGAAATCTTGGAGAAGGCATGTTTTAAAAGCATTTGAAGAAGGCTTTCAGCATCTTCTTTCCTCATTGAAGATTTTATAATTACTTTACCAAAGAAGAAATTCTAAGAATAACAGTTGAGTATTTTAAATGTACTCTCAAGATTTGGGGAGAGAAAACTTAAACCAATCATATCATATGTGGGTGTGTTTGAGCTTTTCTGTGAAATTCCTGTGCATCTTTGGCTGTTACATAGTTTAATAAGCATTTCCTTCTCTGCCTAATTCATTTTAAAATGGAAAAGAAAGCTACTCTGAGCTTCCTTCATTCTTAAAACTTGTTTGCTTTAATGAGTCTAGATTGAAGAAAGAAATAGAGATGTGATAAAACAGCAGTTGTGAAATAAGGAAAAATTACATCAATGAGGATAGCAGGGCTGCGTGTTCAATCACTACTTAGGGTGCAAAGGGCTGACCAGCTTTCTGGATGCTGAAACCCTACCTAGGGTCAGAGTGTGCAATGTTGTGTTTCAAGTGTGACACAGAGTCCAGGGATTCACAGCACCGCACTTCAGTTCATTCACACGGTAGAATTGGTATTTAGTTATATATGGAAATTTAGATTTCTTTAAGAAAAATATGTGGAAGGCGGATGTGTAATTCTGCTTGCTTTTTCTTCATCAGAAGTTGGGTCATATTTCAGGTGAACTATGCTTCTGTGAAAGTAGGTTTGCGCCAAGATTGTTCCAAGAAAGAGTCTGGAGCTCTTTCTGAGAGTCCAGCTCTCTTTCTGTCCTTTGCATCTTTGGAAAGGTTATTAAATGTCTAGAGCAGTACTCAACAAGTAGAAACAAAATGTATTTCAAGTGTAATTGAAGAACATATCTGATGCTTTAATTTGTAGCTGTTAAAACTTCCAAGAACTGGGCATGGTGGTTCACACCTGTAATCCCAGCAGTGGGGAGGCTGAGGCAGAAAAATCTTTGTCAGTTCGAGGCCAGCCTAGGCTACATAGTGAGTTCAAGGCCAGCCTGAACTACACAGCGAAACCCTGTCTCAAAAAAATCCAAAATTCTGGGCCTTTCATCATAAACATACGAGATTGTCAGCCACTCAAAGGGTTGTGCATTAGAGACAATGGTTCTCATAATATCTTTTCTGCAGGCTCATATTTACCTCCTTGTGTCTTCTGCATATGAAGTCCTTGGGTGATATGACTTATAATTCTAACTATTTTTTGTTAAATTTCTTTACTCTCAAAAAATTTAATTAGAAATAGTTCTTTTAAGATTCATAAGCAATTTGGGCCGGGGATTTAGCTCAGTGGTTCCACCACCTGCCCTGCAAGCACAAGGACCAGAATTCGATCCCCGGTACCCAAAACAAACAAACAAAAAAGATTCATAAGCAATCTAAATCTTGCAACATATATATACTTATTGTTTCCTTTCTGAATTTATATTGTTCCCATCTCATCTTCTAAGGTAAATTCAAAATTGAATTTTGTTGATCTTTTAATCTTTTAAAAATATTGTAATAAATATGTCATGTTTTTTATTATGAAATCCTCTAAGATCTCCGTATATATTTCAGGACATCGGTGCTGGGAAAGGCAAATACTACGCTGTCAATTTTCCAATGAGAGATGGTATAGATGATGAGTCTTATGGGCAGATATTTAAACCTGTAAGTATTACTATTTTCTTGTCTTTTTTTTTTTCTCTGTACCAGGGGTTGAACTCAGGGCCTTGCAGTTGCAAGGCAGGCACAGAGCCACTGAGCTAAATCCCTGGCTAAGTATTACTATTTTGAAAGTTAAAATCGAATTTTAAAATGCTGTTGGACACATCCATAATTGTTATTTTGTATTTAGATTATCTCAAAGGTGATGGAGATGTATCAGCCCAGTGCGGTGGTTTTGCAGTGTGGTGCAGACTCCTTATCTGGTGATAGGCTTGGTTGCTTCAATCTCACAGTCAAAGGTAAGCAGTGTAAAAGGTTGTGTTCCCAGAAAATAGAAAAGTTTTTCTCTTCCCTAAAACTTCCTTTAAAAGATCTCATTCGGGCTGGGGATTTAGCTCAGTGGTTCTTGTACCTACCTCAAAAGAGCAAGGTCCCAAGTTCGATCCCCGATACCAAAAAAAAAAGATCTCATTGTAGTTTCTTGCCTTACATTTTAACATCAAACTGTGTCACTGTATTTTTCATAGGTTTTTTAATCTGGTGTATGTGTGTGTGACTACATTTAACTTTGTTTTAGTTAATTAGGTATTTTAATTCTATATACTACATGTTTATACATGAATAGTTTCATGAGGCTTGTTGTTTTCCCAACTGAGGCAGCTATCTTCAATGTTTTGTTGATCCTTTTAGTCTTCACCTTTCTCCAGATAATACATACTTGGTTATCTAATGTATTTAAAAATTTTAGCCCTGTATATGAATTTCCCATTATGGAAGAAAAGTGGTTCTCTCTCCTGAAAACTTTGTTCTCAGCAAACATGTAACCTTCCCTTATCTCTGTTTTTGCTATCAGAATTTTGATTGTGCTGTTCATTGTTTACAGTAGAAGCTGCAACATCCTTTCAGTGTACTCAGTTTTTCTGTTGTGCCCAATTCATTTTTATGGAGTTTTGCATTAACTTAGTTTTCTTGTCCCTCATTACTAAACCACCAATGTTTTGGGGTGAAGGAAAAGTGAATGTCTTTGGTTTACCTGTGGGTGTATATTTGGAAGTCCATAAGTTAACCTTTTTCTGTGTTTATCCTTAAAAATATCCAAGTGGTTTTCATTTATTATGAGAAACGCAGGTTTTTCTAGCAGGAGCAATACATTTGGGTTGTGAATTTCTGTGCAGTGTTGAAGCACGTGACAGTGCTCGGTGTACAGGTGCCTGAAGAGGATAGTTACACCCACTGTCGTTGGATGGTATGGTCTCAGGTCAGTGGTGGTGAACCTGTGGCACGTGTGTTACCCTGTTTTTTTAAGATGAGATGTTAATGTAGACTTGTTTGTTCTAAACTAAAACCTCAGTATTCAGATTTATTTGCATAATTGGCACTTTGGGATAAATAAGTGGGTTTTGGGTTGCAGTTTGACACTTGGTCTCTAAAACATTCACCATCACTGTTTAGGTGGTTAGTTTCTTTGTACTTTTTTTTTTTGGTACCGGGGATCAAACTCAGGACCTTGGGTTTGTCAGGCAGGTGGCAGAACCACTGAGCTAAATACCTGGCTCTGTTTGTACTTTTGGATTTTTTTTTCCTAAATATTCTTCAACATGTATGACTTTTATAATGGAGGAATTTTTTTATTGACAATTGTGTGTTTGCATGTCAAAAATACCAGTAAGTTACTGGTGGCTTATAAATGATTGCCGAACTGACATTCTAAGGAAATACTTGGTTTTATATTTGGTTAATAATCTTTGCTAACAAAATTGTTTAATACTACTGCCTAAAGTTATATGGTCAGACTTTTGTTTTATAGCCTTCCATAGTTCTGTACATGTCTTTAGGGGAAAATGGAAACAGAACTTTGAGATTGTGTGTTTCATTATAACTTAACTACCTCAAATACCCTTGCCACAAGCCTTTCTATGTTAATGAAAATGTGTACATATTTTAATTTTTATTAATACATGTTTGTGGTACATAATGAATACATTCATCTTGGACAGCTGGGTGCATATACATGTGGTCTCTTAATCTTTGTTATGTAGTCTTCTCTGTGCTCTTTTCCCCTCTCCCTCCCTAAATTCCCTTCTTATTGTATTCTTAATCTTAGCTGAATATTTGACTTTTCTATCAGGGACATTTACTACAATGCCCAGTTATTTCTTATTAGAGTATGTGTATAATTGTGTGAAATATGATAAGTAGTTTTAGAGTACAAATTTCTTTATTTTTATTCTTAGTTTTAAAGATCTTACAAAATCCATCTTGATTGTGTAAAATTTTATTTGGATTTATTATTTTTTAAAGTTTATTTCTAGAAAGTTTGTAATACACAGATTTTGTTGTTACCCAAATGCTCCTTGTCCTAGGTCATGCAAAGTGTGTAGAAGTTGTAAAAACTTTTAACTTGCCATTACTGATGCTTGGGGGCGGTGGATATACAATCCGCAATGTTGCTCGCTGTTGGACGTACGAGACTGCAGCAGCTCTTGATTGTGAGATCCCTAACGGTAAGTGTCCAATTTCTGTATCTGTACGGTATGAACTGTCTGTACATGGGACTAGATGAAGGAAATGGTTAGAGTAGTTTTACAGAGCAGGATAGATTCCAAAACTGTGTAAGTAAGAATGCATTCACTCTGTGTTTAGTTTTAAACACTGTCTTTAGAAATATTTCCCTACCTGTAACTTTTATTTCATTGTTTTTAATAGAGTTGCCATATAATGATTATTTTGAATATTTTGGACCGGACTTCAAACTGCATATTAGTCCATCAAACATGACAAATCAGAACACTCCAGAATATATGGAAAAGATAAAGTAAGAATCATTGAATTGTTTTTTAAGCATTTCATCTTGACAAAGCTTTAGAAGGCTTTAGATGGCCATGTGGAATGAGTTTTTATAGATTTATACATTAGTTATTGTCTTTGTCTCTTTTTTTGTCTTTTTTTTTTTTTTTGGTACCGGGGATCGAACTCAGGTCCTTGTGCTTGCGAGGCACGTGCCGGAACCACTGAGCTAAATCCCTGGCCCTTGTCTTTGTCTTTTTCAAAAGGATTTGAAACCTAAGGTTACTGATTACTAGCACCAGGATATGAGCTTCATAGATCAAAACTGTTTTCATTTTTTATTAGTTCAGTCACATTATTAAATGGCAAAGGGCACCATAAATTTTAGTGTTTCTTGCTTTACATTAAAGTGAGTGATCATTTGGTTTATCTGAAACGTTTTGTCTAGAGGGACATTATAGTACACAGGTATGGCTTTGTGTCCTCTCAACCGCTGACTAGCATTGTGACATTGGACCAGTTCACTAACCTTTGTGTTTTGTGTTTCCTTGTCATTGAAATGGGGGATAAAATGATGTCTACATTGTAAGTTGTGTAGGTTGAATTAGTTAATATATATGAAGTTTTAATGCTTAGTGAATGTTACTTTAATCCGTAGATTAAGCTAGATTTTTTAGAAATGAAGTTTCTTAATGTTTCCACTTGCATATGAGAGGGACTTGAAATAAATTGAATTTTGTCTGATAAGTTTGCATTTATAATTTAGGCAGCGTTTATTTGAAAATTTGCGCATGTTACCTCATGCACCTGGTGTCCAGATGCAAGCTATACCGGAAGATGCTGTTCATGAGGACAGTGGCGATGAAGATGGAGAAGACCCTGACAAGAGAATTTCTAGTAAGATGACACCTCGATGTATATCTCTTACATTTCTCTGGTTTATTCAAATAGCACTTATACAGGCTTTCATGACCCCACTGGGGCGTTATGGGGCATGTTTTGTGAACAAAGTATTAGTGTGATTTTCTCTATTTTTTTACCTTAAGCAGTTTTAGCTTCCTGTTGTCTCACAGCCTGATGTGAGGATCAGTAGTTTCTGTTTGACTGTGTGTGTGTGTGTGTGTGTGTATGTATATATATATGAAAGCTTTGGGGAATTAGCTGCTTACATTCTATTTGGGAAAGAATTGGAAAGCATCCCATTTGTTCGGTGTAGGATGAGTTAAATAACCTAAGCACTTTGTTTGAATATAGCTTCTCATCACATGTAATAGGACTGTTAGACTTATAGCATAATAATTTAACTAATAGTTTGATTTATAGCATAATAGTATACCTAACATGTTTGGTATTATTTTTGTTTGGTGTACTCCCCTTCTTAGCTCTAAAATACAAGAACTATTTTTAGGTATAGACATTATTTTCACTTCCTACTTAGAAAAACAGTTTTTTCCTCTAGTTTTGCCTTTAAAAAAATACAGTATCCCCAAATGTTTCTAATACCTCATTGAACTGTTTCTTCATAGATGAAAGCTAAGTTTTTAATATTAAGCAAACCATTTATTTAGTTCAAATCTTCACATTAAACATTTGTTCTGTGCTTTTAAATGTGGTAACTGGAGAGTGCATTTATGTAAGTACTGTAATTGTAAAACCTGTGATTGTTTTTGTCGAACGTGTTATTTATATATATATCAGTTCGAGCATCAGACAAGAGGATAGCTTGTGATGAAGAATTCTCAGATTCTGAGGATGAAGGGGAAGGAGGTCGTAGAAATGTGGCTGATCATAAAAAAGGAGCAAAGAAAGCTAGAATTGAGGAAGACAAGAAGGAAACAGAAGACAAAAAAGCAGGTTAGATTTATTTTTTGGTAAATGTTCTCATTGTAAGTTTTTATTTATTTTATTTTTTGGTACTGGGGATCAAACTCAGGTCCTTGCGCTTGTGAGGCAGTCATTGTACGTTTTTTTTGTTTTGGTTTTTTTTTGGTACTGGGGATCAAACGCAGGTCCTTGTGCTTGCACAGCCGGTGACGAAACCACTGAGCTAAATCCCTGGCCCTTTTGTAAGTTTTTAAAATTGAGAGGTACGTAACAATTTTATGAGACCCTAAAGTCACCTACACAAGTATTGGAGGAGTGGGTGTGGAAAGAAGATGACTTTTATTTTCCATGAAAGTGATGTTTAAGTTTTAAATACTTTTCATTTAAAGGTTTCTAAGTGTAGCTACTCACGTTTGCTTTTATAATACAGAAAACCTTATTTTTTTGTCTCTATGACAAACTGAATATTGTGAACATTGTGTTTATAGATTAAGAGAAAGGACAAAATGGTTATAAATCCATTTGTAATCCATGAGCAGAGCTGAAATCCAAAGGTAATTTTTTTTTCTGGCACTGGGGGTCAAACTCAGGACCTTGAGCTTGCAGTGTAGGCGTGGTGCCGCTGAGCTACATCCCCTCCCCCCAAAGATAATTTTTAATTACCTGAAGTAGGTAAAAACGCCAGTTTCATCCTTTCACCTTTGAAAAAGGTCTGATAACAGACTTGATTCAGAAATTGAAGAAAACATAATCTCTGGGGAAAGATAGGAAGGAATTTGAGACCTGGGGCTATGGAGAAGGTACTACTTTTTTTTTTTTTTTTGTACTGGGAATCAAACTCAAGACCTTGTACTTGTGAGGTAGGTGCAGT